TTTCACTCTTTATTCCACCTCCGTAAAATTGCACAGCTATTTTCACTGGCTTAAATTAATTACCACCTTCTTTCCATTAGTTTGGGGAAGATCTGATTGCTCACATGGAAGAGGTAGTAAAAGGGTTATACCCTTGACTGATGATTCATTGCACCAGCTGCCAGCAAGGTTGCATGTCTCGGCACACCTGGATGCATGCACCAGTGAATGATTAGGAAACACATTTATCTTGCCGCATCACAAAGGAGACACAACTGTAATTACTCTCCCTTGTAATGAAAGGCATTCTGGAACCCGTGTCCACCTACAAAATAATAGAAAGTATGCTTTTGGACCAGATCCATATAATTGCGCCATCTGTTCTTGATACTTAGCTCTAAATAGTTCCCAAATCATTCTTGTGTTCTCAAAATAAAATGCAGTTTGAAAAGACCTGTGCTAACTGTTAAAATGGTCACAAGTTGTCAATTTAAAACCTAACATTAATGAAAATGATCAAAACTCAGAATTTCTTTGGTTGATAAATACAGAATATGACATTAACCTTCACTGTGTACTTAGGAAAGTCTGGGGATTTATCATGTTTTAATTTAGAGAAGATGAATATATTGGTTAAGTTTTCCAGGGCTCTCTAAATGAGATTACTTAAGTAATTATCCCATGTGAAAGAAGAAAAAGGAATCAAAACTTTTGTTCTTCAACTTGTCTCATAAAGACCTCAAAATTCTGGAGACTCTTAACCTATACTGAGAAATCTCATGTATTAAGACCTTAAAGTAAGATGCTGTATTAGAGTACTAGAGAGATTTCATAGCAGTTAATAGCATGTTGGGTTACATCTAATTGAGTTGTTGGCCGAAGAGGTCTTATGGGAATCCCCAAGCAAACCAGGCTGTTGCCAATGTATAGGTTGCTCTCCACACTGACGGCAAGGCTCATTGCTGAAAATAATACCTGAACAATTCATTGAACATGAAGAGGTTAAGCCAGTGCCTACACAGAGGCTTCATCCCTACATTACAGTATCCTTAAAGCGGGAAGTACTCCGCACACTGTCAAAGGAGAAACAAAAACACTAACCTACTCACAAACCCCTTCATCTACAGCGGTGTATTGACTGCAAGATACATGAGGGCAATGGTCACACAAAGCTTGTGGAAGCAACCAACTAACAACTAATTTAACCTAAGAAACCCATACCCAACTAATTGGGTGACCAAGAACCTGAGGCTAGATAGCCCAGGGATCTAGGGTAAAATCAAATAAAAGAAAAGAAATCTACTGATAAAATGACTTCTGTTGATACTCCGCTATACTCATACATCAAGGCCTTGCTCAGCCATCATCAGCGAAGCTTCCTCCTGCAACATATGGGAACATATATAGAGACCCACAGCCGGACACTACATATAAAGTGAGAGACCTCGGAACACTCAGCCCTAGACGGGATGTCTTCATCAAATTCTGCCATTCAGAGCTCAAGGAACCCAATGGAAGAGGAGGTAGAAAGAGTGTAAGAGCCAGAGGACACCAAGAAAACAAGGCCCTCTAAATCAACACGATAAAAGCTCCTATGATCTCTCAGAGACTGAAGCAGCATGCACAGGGCCTGCTCCAGTCTACACAAAGTCCTTTACGTATATATTGTGGCTTCCAGTTTATCATTTTGATGAGACTCCTAAGTGTGTGAATGAGTGGGTCTCTGACTCTTGTGCCTTCTAATTTCCTGCTATTGGTTTGTCTTGTCCAATTTTGATGTGATAATTTTTTATCTTATTTATTTTATTTTGTTATATCTAAAAATGAATGAATGAATGAAAAACAAGTCACTAGAGTACTGCTTTATAATTCCTTTTAAAGATCTATTTTTATTATGTGCATGTGTCTATGTCTGCTCATGTACACCACTTGTGTATAGGTGCTGAAAGGAACTAAAGGTGTTTGGAGTTACACACGGTTGTGAGCTGTCTGGTGTGGGTGCTGGGAAGTTCACTTGTCACCTCTGGAAGAGCAGCATGTGACCTTAACTGCTGAGCCATCTCTCCAGAACCAAGTGAGTTTTTTGTTTGTTTGTTTGTTTGTTTCCTTGGTTTTTCGAGACAGGGTTTCTCTGTGGCTTTGGAGCCTGTCCTGGAACTCACTCTGTAGACCAGGCTGGTCTCGAATCCACAGAGATCCGCCTGCCTCTGCCTCCTGAGTGCTGGGATTAAAGGTGTGTGCCACCAATGCCCGGCCCAAGTGAGTTTTTAATTATTATAAAAGTTGTATTTTGGTTTTTTACATTATAAAGTAGCCTTACTCCCCATTAATATAAAACCTCAGTGAATTCTTTGCACAAAAATAAGATTAATTATGAAACAAATATTCAGCTCCAGCCCTGAAAATTGCAGGAGTTGTATTCAATATGATATAACGATTTTTCATACTCCTTTCAAAAATGACGGAAAAGATACTTGCTTGGGAAGCTGAAACCTATTAAACACTCTTAAATGAGTAACGGTTTACCTTGCTCTAAAACAAGGATACAACAATAATGGTAGCAGCAAGCAATTATGTGGAGATTAAAATATAAACATCACTAACCTAAATACATGTGCTAACTCCTTAGCATACCAGTAAGACATATACTATTATTATTTCACTTTTCAGATTTATTTTGATCTTTGAAGACTATGTGTGTCTTTGCATCTCTGTGTGGTGGTATATGTACATGGATGCAGGTGTCTACAAAGGCTAAATGGACAGGACCCCTTGGAGTTAGAGTCAGAGACAGTTGTGAGCAAGTGATGTGGGTGCTGGGGATTGAACTCCAGTCCTCTGCAGCACACACTATTAACTGCTGAGCCATCTTTCTAGCCCCTATTTTCTTTTCTTGTTTCTTTTTAGTTAAGAAAAATCTCTTTCTGGGTGACAGAGGCACACGCCTTTAACCACAGTACTATGGAGGCAGAGGTAGGAGGATCTCTGTGAGTTGGAGGCCCACTTGGTCTACAGAGTTCCAGGTCAGGCACAAAAACTACACAGAGAAACCCTGTCTCAGAAAAAAAGAAATTCTTTTCAGTGGAAAAAATTCACCTAATCAACACATCACAGTCACCTTTCCCTAGTGTTTGTAAACACTGAAGCATGGGCTTAATCCGTGTGTGAAACTAAACGAAATACGGTTAAGGGACAGACTTCTTCAGCCAAGAGTCATTCCAGGGCCATGTGTCAGAAGCATGCAACAGCAGTATGAAGCACTTAAAGACAGACACACATACATATACACACAATAGCAACACTTATCTAGCAAACACGTCTGTCTAAACTATTAACTCAACTTAGAACATGGGTTGCATCGATAGCACTGATACTGTGATCCAGAACATGTCCATAAACCATAACTTGCTGTTTTTCATAATAATTTTTACATTACATTTAGCAGTCAGTGTCTTTAAAATGTTTTAGCTTTAAATTCGATACTAAGTCTTAGTTACTTGTTTCACATAATCAGAATTCAGTCAATGCTTAACATAAAATATAGTATAAAATGTCCTTTTTCTGGGTCACCACACCCACACTAAGGAGTCAACAAAACTAAAATGACAGGTCCACCTATTTATTTCTATAATCCAAGAAATTTAAGAATTGCTTCTTTGTAAACATTTCCTTTGCCTTTAATTTTAGTGACAAAAATGAAAATATTCTTATGAATTGACCATATTTCTTAATAAATTGGTCTTCTTCATGTTGAAATTACACATTGATTTGCATTGCAGTTTCATCAGATACTATGAGGCACCACATTAACTCCCATTGCTGGCTCTTATGTTCTAAACTCTGATATCTCTGATATTTGGCCAAATGCAACCAGCTAACCATCTCTAAAGACACCCGGGGACATAATTTGATAGTTCATCTTACTTATCTTACTTTGAACAGTCAGCCCTTAGGCACACTCTCTGATTCCAACTGGTTTCACAATGGTGTACTTTCTCACCTCTGTACTTCTGCCTCTCTCTCTCTCTCTCTCTCTCTCTCTCTCTCTCTCTCTCTCTCTCTCTCTCTCTCTCTCTCTCTCTCTCTCTCTCCCTCCCTCCCTCCCTCCCTCCCTCTCTCTCTCTCCCCTTCTCTCTGGGGACTTACTTAGTTGAGACTCTTAATGAGTGACACATCCTAGGATAAAGTTAAGAACATCTCGTTTTCTCTCTGCTAGCTAACACTCTGCTGTGGTGTCAGTCGCACTATTAAGCTTTTGCTTCCACACTTCCATTCATGGGGAACACAATAAAATACTTGCAGATAAGCCTCAACCATCCTCAAAGGGTGCTTAGCACCTCAGATAGCCTATGCTGAATAAAAGCAAAATGAGTTAAATATCATTATATTTTATATTTCTTAAATTTCCCTTGTTTAACTGACAGATAATTCATTTTTTCTATGCAAAGTCAAATTTTTATTCATAAATCATGAAAATAATTAAATTTGCAGCCTATTTTGACACATTGTTTAATTAACATCAAATCTTCTATCAAAATTTTAATGAAGAAAATGTTTAAAAAAATCACTGAGCTCCCAAATTTAGAGGTTCCTATAACATCTTCATTTACTTCATCAGCTTTCCATTCATTATATTATTCTCTCTAATTACATAGTTTTTAAAGGTACATGTAGAAATAATTAACTTTTTTAGTTCAAACCACTTATAAAGAGTCCATGTTATGTTATATGTATATGTTTAGTAAAATAGATTATATAAAACACAGCATTATTCTTTCCTATGTTCAGAATATATGGCAATTTAGTATTCAACATTGCACATGATTATATATAATATATAATATATATTTGTGGGGAGTCATTTATTGTAAAATTTTAGATGGGTTTATCTAACAGAACAATGATAGCAACAACAGTGAAATTAATCGACCCACACTGGGTTTCCTCTTCAAGCTTATTATTCAGTTAGAAAAATCAAATTTTATTTTAACAAAAATATAACAGGAAATAAGGTTACTTACCTTTCAGGATTTTCTACTTCTTCGGTAATAAAATTGAGGTAAAACCTGTATTATAAATAAAAAAATAACTTTTAGTAAGTTTTACCACCACATGTTAAACATTTTAAAATCAAACTAAGAGAGCCGGGCAGTGGTGGCGCATGCCTTTAATTCCAGCACTCGGGAGGCAGAGGCAGGATGATCTCTATGAGTTCGAGACCAGCCTGGGCTACAGAGCAAGTTCCAGGACAGCCTCCAAAGCCACAGAGAAACCCTGTCCCGAAAAACCCAAATAAATAAATACTAAACATCATAAAAATTAAAGTGTATGCAGGGAGATATAAACAGGAAACCAATAAGAACTTCAACAGCACATTTTCTACTAATTCGCAGTGTGGGTATTAAAATGTGTGAGACATGACGGTGATGGGTGTGGAAAGCACATGATCTGCATGCCAAGCTCACAGTTTACGTGATGGCTCAGAAGAACATGGTACGGCACCAGCAAAGGGCACAGGAGCTAGGAGAATACAGCCAGCCCCGAACTACGGTGGAGGAAGCATTCCCATAGGAAGGTCCCCCCAACCCGAACCTTCAAGAATGCACAGCATTGCCCGTGCTGAGGTGTTATGAGGCCACCTAAGGTTGGCCCAAAGCACAGAAGTGTGGCACAATGGTTATACCCAGGGAAGGGAGGAATGCTATAGTATTCTGCCATATCAGTATGAAAGAAAGCATGGGAGGAGAAATTAAGTTGAAGGTGGCCTCTGTTTCCTGTAACTCTAAATTTGGAGTTAGAAACAAGAGAATCCAAATTATATGAGAGCAACCTTGTGGGGAACTGCTATCGGCTTCCTACACAGAACACACTGTATGAGCAGGGACCAAAACTTGTAGAAATGATACCTTATTATATGTCTCAAATTTCCAAGAAGAGAAAGTTTCAAATGTTTTACCACAAAAAATAAAAACTATACTTTGTTATAGAAATGCTAATTACTTTGAGTTAATTATTTCATGTTGCATTCATAAATCATAACCTCATTTTTTGTACCTCAGAAATGTATACTATTTGCCAATTTATACTTTCAAACAAAAATAAAAGGATTAAACCTTCCATTCACACTTCTTCCTTTAGAGTCACTGCCAGTTTTACCCTATATAACCCGATTCACAAGCCTACAGTAGGAAGGAGGTCTCAGGTATGTTCAGGTAGTTGATTGTAGGCACATTGTTACTTACTACACTGTCCATTGAGAACAAAAAAAATCAGGGAATTTTGAACATTTTCTGGACCCATAATACTTTTCTGGAAATTATATGTAAAAAGAAGCATTTTAGGCACAAAGTATTTCATTTCAATGCCAAATGGGATCTCAAATTCTTACCCTAATGTCGGGACTTGAGAAATTCTGATTGCTTTCTTCATAGTGAGATTCTACCAAGTCCATAGAGACATGGCTAATGCCTTCCATGCTGGACTTCATTTTCCGACTAGAAGGGACTGGTAGGGGTCTTTTAAGCCCTATGAAGTGCTTCCTAAATGTCCTCAAAGAAAGGTTGAAGGAAATTAAGAAACCTCATGAGAACAACTGAACATAGCAACAAGAACTAGCTGTATCTTCATTCTGTAAGCTCAGGGAACTCTCCCAGAATGAAAGTTGCACCTTCTGCTGTTATCTTATCATTCCTTGGATGCTAAAATAGCTTCTTACATGGCACATGGAATCATAGGTCTGAAAGTCAAGTTCTCTTCTCTCTAAATACAAATATCTAGAATATTATCCCATTGCCTGCCACATGCTTCAGGCATCCCACAGCCTACAAGAAAGGAGAGGAAACTGGTCTGACTGAATTCACTAGTCAGTTGATGTTCAAGAACAAGATGGCAACAGCTCTAATAACTAAGTTATAAATCAATATTAGAAATGCATTGACTGAAGAAATGGTAGCAATAAGGGTACTATAAAAAGTGTACACACACATGCAAAACTGATGATATGTCTTAACAACTAGAAAGTTAAATTTCTAAAAACAGCAGTTGTTGTTGCCTTAGAAAGGTGCACATATAGCAGAATGCATATAATGTTGTTATTATAGGAAAAGCAACAGTCAGTGTGACCCTTGCTATGTGCACACATCATCTTTCGCCATATAATGCAAGACTGGCTAGAAGAATTATAAGTGTGGACTATAAATGAGCTACTATTTCTGCATTGAATGTACCAGAGATAGGGCTGTGGAATGTGCTATTTGAGACAGATTTGACAAGTTCGTTAAAAGCCTGAGGCAATAGGAAGTATGGGGAACAAATACAAATAAATAAGCAAATATATAAATAACACCCAAAACTGAATAAATCACATGAATTAAGGAATAGTGCCAGGTTTTGCATGTCAGAGATAGCCAGTTGCTTTTTAATAGTTAATGAACTGTCTTTCCCAATAACCTTAAGGCACAGAGAGGACTATTTGTGAAAAAGAATATGACTTCAAATATTTTTCCTTAGAGAATAGACAAAAAGGAAGTGCTTGGGTACAGTTTGAGGGGAAGAAGAGGACAGCAGATCATTTCAGTACCAAAGTCCATTCACTGTGGGAAATTAACCAGGACACTTGTATGGTCTCAGTATGGAATGAAGGCCACAGTGGTCCCTTTCCCCTGGTTTACTTCTCAATGCCCCTGGAGAATACTCACAGGGTATATTGTCCCAGATTTTCTATGACTATGCATAAGATGCTATGGTTGGCCCTGCATTGTAGCACCCAGCCTTGTACATGACTTTTAAGGGAAGCAGATTCTTGAGGTGAAATTTGACACAAAGACATACAATACTCTTCGCTGGTGCTTCAGGGAGACTAAATCCATTGAGGATCCGATTAAAGAGGGCGACAAAAGACACTGAAAACCAATTTTCTATCACACGGTGAAAAAAAAAGAGAGAAAAAAATCTCACCACACTGTGCTTAGCTTTGGACCCAGACACAGGATTGAAATTGGTTAACTTCCCCAAGGCCACAGGAGGACTGGCAGATATATTTCTCTGAATACGGACATTGGCAATAATATGAAAGTTGTTCTGACCCGACTCCGTGACCTGACTGAGTTAATGATTTCTTTTCCCCTAATCATGTTTCAGTGAAGGAGTTTTCATCATTCTGGATAGGTTCTGTGCTCCTCAGAGCCAAAACTTTACTCCATTCAGGATCCCCAAGGGTTGCTGGTATCTTCTTCCTATTCAGTCTAACAGCGGGAGGTGACTGCTCTTAGAGCAGGGTATCCAGGACAACAGAAGCTCTAGCATGCTTCCTGTCCAAACAGGTAGCTGCCTGGCTTGCAATTCCTGACCATAACTGCTTTGTTTCTGTCTCATTACAATATCTCCACACTGGGTTTGCTGCTTCCTTTCCTTTCCCCACTTAAACAAATATTGTTCTGTAGCAATGCAGGGAGTGGTGGCCATTTACAGTCCCCAATTACAAGTGAGCAAGCCAGTTTTGCAATCATACGGCAAAAGATGGAGAATTCAGATAGAAAAGATTGTTCTTCCAATGTTCCTATCTTTGAGACCAATTTCAGGCTCCACCTTGATCCATTTACATGGAAATAGCTGCATCTATGGAGTGCCAAGACCACAGACTCTTTCTTCTAAGACTGAGGGCCGTAGATTAATAACCAGATCATTCCTCCTCTTTACAAAGCAGCATTAAGCCAGCATAACAACCCATGAAGCTAAATAGTTCCCTATCATCCTCCAGCTAAGCCACTTGGATCAGCTAACATCTCATTTACAATCCTAGACTTACTTTCCAATAGGGTGACTGAAGCCTCAAAAACACACAAAAAATTGAAATTGATGGTTCTTGGCTCTTCAAGCTAGGGTGAAGGCACAAGGATTATGGGGGGGTAATAATCAAGTTTTCTGTAAATCTCCATTTTAGGTGAAAACAGTGGTGCTTTGGACTCAGCATCAGTAAAAGGCAATATTAATAAGATAAGTCAAGATGAAGAGAGTCTTTTTCCACGGAAAAAATCCACCACTCCTCAAAACCCTCAGAAGTGGAGAAAATTGGCCGTACATGAAGCAGGTGACCTGAATATTCAGTGCCGCGTGGTGGTGGGGCGAGGGTAGAAACGTTTTAATATTCTGTGGGAACAGATGCATGGTGCTCCCAGGCAAAAGAAACTCCATTCAACAGAATTAATCAAATCTGCCTTGTGAAGATCACCACATTCCACATTCTTGACAGAGTACAACAGGCTCCCAGCACCCAGCTGGAGCTGAAAGCTCTTGTTCCCTCCCCTACTTTGCTCTGGGGCTCCCAGGGACCCTCGCTGTGGCTTGGCTGCTGCCCCAGGGCATGGAGCCCTGATTCAGGCTCAAAGGACAGAGGAGTTGATTCCGCTCCTAACACTGTGATCGCACTCAGTTCTTTTCTCTGCTGAGCACCGCGTTGTGCTTTGAACAAAAGTGAAAAGACTTCAAAACCACTGAGACTCAAAACTAAAGCGTGCACACAATGGCTGCAAAAAAATCTTCTTTGGGTATACACATATTTTACACTGATCTTCTTATGCTATACCTAACAGCCTTCAAACACATTTTGCTTCAAAGCTATGCTAAACCCGTGTAGCTAGGCTCTGCTGATTCTCTTCTAATGCCATATTTTCACAATCTGTAGGATTAATAGGGTCCATATTCTATTGCTTTCTGGAATGCTTTTGTATATTCCCTGGAAGATAAAATCCAAAAACATAAACAAAAAAGAAGGAAGAAAGAAGAGAAAATTATATTCATGTTAAATTCATATTCACCTAATTGCTGAGATACCGAAGTTTCTTGATAGTATTTTTAGGGGTATTGTCAGAGCTTTCACTGTTGGTTTTATAAATATGGAGAAAGAACTACTACCATTGTTTACTCCAAAACAATGAAAACTAATCGTCTAGTGTTTCGGTAATACTGTTGCACCTAGTGGGCTGTCTTGAAATAGTCATTTCAACTAACGCTTATAAGGTCAACACAATCTAGTTACAGGAAGTTCCTCTCCAATATTTGATTCCTGTGACTCATGCTCCTCAACAAAACACTGCTGTGCCAGGGCGGGGCGAATCACAGGCAGACAAGCATGAAAGAAATAAACGCATCCGTGGCATCGTGGTGCCAGTCACACTTGCTGCCTGTGTGTGTTTTCAGCTACTGGAAGCATTTAGATGAAGTGTGTAAAGGCCCTTGAATATGCTGCATACTATTTGACCAGTTATCATTGTGATGTCCCCTTTCCTGTTTATCATAGGAACCATTTTGATCTCCTGAGACCATCTCATTTCTGCACCTGAATTGTTTCTCCCTCATAACCGGATAGACAAAAAAGTCATTAACCACTATCTACAAATATCCATGGTACTCTAGCACAAAGGCCTTTTGACAGGGAGGGTACTAATCCAAGTACCCAATGGCACTATTTCATCCTAACTGATGAGTAATTGGAAGTAATGTATACTGATTGTTGAAACCAAACATCTGTTTGCTTGTTTATTGTTATGCCACTGGGCTAAATCTAATAGCAACTCTGACTGCTCAGGGGCTCATAAAATGACACTGTAAGTTAAAGGCTTGCCGCACTGCAGGAAACTGGAAGGACCTCTGAGGAAGGATCAGTCTCTAGTACCCTCCCACCTTTCCTTCATGCTTCTCGTTCTCCCAGGGCAAGCTGCAGAAGCCTTCCCTAAGTGTTCCCAGAAACTAGAACCTATCTCCCACAAAGCCAACTGTAAAACCTAGAAATATGTTTCACACTTCCTCCTGCCTTTCTGTGGAAAGTAGCTGCACAATTCTCTGCTCCATTTTGTCTCATAATACACTGTAAGAGTCTTGGTTGAGACAGGTTCTATCCTATCCCAGGAGGAAGAAATGTTACACAAAGAAGCCAAGAAGAATCGAAACCAACACACGTCACTTAGTTTCCCTTCAGTCTAATACCATTGCATCATATCCATGGCCATGAAAATGATTTTTCCTGGCTCTATAGGTCTTTCTGAGAATTCCATGTTCCTTGAAACTTTGACTAAATAATCACCGTGCACTTGACGTAATGAAAATCTAGTTGGGAAAGAAATATTTGATGTGTTTCTTCATCCATCACTAGGGTCCAAGCTGACACTCCTACGATAGAAGATAGATTAACAAGAGAAAAGGCAAATGAAGCAACTTAATAAAGTATCTGGAGATATCCACTTACCAACCAGCATATGCATACATCCCATAATAAAAAGCCAGGGGCAACCCCATTAGATTTGCATCTCTTCCTGAAAATGCATCTTCAAAGTGCTGTGTTTGCCCTGCAATTAGGATGCAAGGATTTTTAGAGCTTTGCAAATAATTTGTTACTATTTTTATTCCACCCCTATACATAGTTGGGAGGTGAGTTGCCCTGTTCGCGGCCAACTCTATTGATACTGCACCCAAGCTAGAGCAGGAGTCTCAAATGCACACCTGTCACCTAGACCACTTTAAAGTTCTTTTGTAGATGACCAGCAGGATGAAAGTGGCACTTAAAATAGGTAACGCCATTTCCGTTGCTTGAGTGTCCTCTATTTTAACGAGGACAGTAGACTAAAGCTTCTTGCATTAATTGAAGTTTTCAGTTTGTCAAAATTCTTAGAAGATAAAGTATGACGTGGTAGGGATGAAAAGAAATCTCAGAGTCTGCATTGAGTGAGGAAGCCTGCATTATCTCCCCACATCACATCTCCTGCTGTTTGTTCCTGTAGTACATCCGACACCTGCCTCCTAAAGCAGGGAAGGCTGCAGTCAAAATCAACCATGGAAACCCAAAAGTCTTGTTCATATAAAGGTTCCCATGCCCACTCACATAAGAGTGTCTATGGTCAATGTCACCTAGCAGCATAGTGTAATTGTGATAAGCCATTCAATCCAAAGGGATTTCTTTATAGAGATAACTTATTGACACTGTCTTGGTTTGCGTCACCATTTTCTTTTAAAACTATGAATAAGAAATTATACCAAACCTCAAATCAAGTTTTACCACCTTGGCATCTACATGTAGCCTGAACACTTCTGTCCATCACATTTTTCCCCTCTATTTTGTGAACAGTGGGTATCTCTTGCTTTGAATCTTTTGAATAGTTTAAGAGATTACAAAACCAAATTTGTGTTAGTAAGCACAGATTCAAAATTAGCCAAAAAATATCTGTGTCATCCACCACCCCCAAAGAAAAACAGCAAATGAGATTACTCAAACAGAAAAGGATCATATTTTAAAATTGACTTTTCATACAATAAAAAGGGGCCATGAAGGCAGAAGGAAGAGGATGTATATACAACACTGTCTTGTAAGTCAAGTATCAGCCATTGCCCACATCATGAGACCAAGTATTCACAGCGATAGAATATGAGGATGGAAGCCAAGATGTACATGGCTGTGTTACACCAAGAGCAATATTTTTCCCAAAGCAATCAACTTCTAAATATAGTTTTATGGAAACTTGACAGGGTGAATCAAAAATGCCCATTTTCCTGAAACATTTCTATGCCTTAATAGAAGGAAAATGTACACACTGAGATTAAGAAAACAAACATCTGTTGGGACTTGAGAGGATGCTCTGCACCAGAGTTCAGCTCCCAGCCTCCATAGCAACCAGCTGTTGCTCCAGCTTCAGGGTATCTGATGCCCTCTTCTAGCCTTTGCAGGCACCTGGGCTTATGTGCGCATGGTCATTTGTAGGCACACAAACGTGCACACACACACACTTAAAAATAAAATATTGTTGGGTGCTCTTCTATGATCTGTGACCTCCTTAGCCTAAGGAGAGAATATTCTTTAGAGTGCAGCAGTTAGTAACTAAGAAGAGAAATGATCTAAACTGTAAAGACTGGGCCACAGTTCTTCAAATGAGTCACTTTGAGGGTGTTGTAGAGAGGCACATTGTTTCTGAGCTTCAGGAACATTTTGAATGCATAACACAGGCCTTAGGAAGATGAAAGTAACATTCAAAGGGAAGTTCCAAGCCTCATAAGTAAATGCACAATATCCAGCTACAATTACGATCTGATTAGAGTAGAAATAAACACACCACACTTATCGGTGAAGCCTTTTTCTTCCTGAGGTCTCAGACAGATGTGGAAAAAACAAATGGTTGTATTACAAATTTAAAATCTCAATTGCATAAAATTTCATAGTAATAAAGAAAATATGACTGGTCTCCAAAGTACTTAAAAAATGCTTCAAATGCAGTAATATCCTCAAGGAATTTCTCTGTTGTGTGAGAAGCAAGAATTAAGGGTGAGCTTATGTTCAGGATACCATAAGCAATAATTAAAATATCACTGTACTGTAACTGACAGGAAAGATTCGGGAGTTTCATCATGGCCTCCGTTCTCAAGTAATTTGCAATGCAATGTCAGCTGCTAACCATGCTCCATTTTACACATACACATAAACGAAGGGTCAGAACCAACTACAGACTGTAACGAGCTGTCATGTCTGGCATTGCACTGAAATGAAAAGCCAGAAAGCAGCCATGGATAGAAGGACTAGGGATTCACCCTTCCGTTCCTCTACAGAAGGCTAGAAAGTCATCTCAGGAGATGAAAACTCTGAAAGTGTGAACAATTTTGCCTCCTTTCATAGTGGAATACGAGCAGGCCAGCCCTGTGAATGCCATGGTGAACTGGGACATCTTCTCACACACCGGCTCTACTGTTCAAGTGGCACACTGTGTTTATTCTGAGGCTGAGGTTTTGGGACTTGGTGAAAGCATTTTACTGGCAGGACTCTAAGATCACCCACTAGCGATTAATTGGACAAAAACAGTTCCCTCTCCCAGCTACAGTGACCAAGTTCTCGGTGTTTGGTGCCTCTACCAGTGGCAATGGTTTTGCTGAACTTCGTCATTGCCTTGTGTATTGTTGGAATTCTCCTCCTGCGGGGTCATTACATTTCTCTATAAATTCCTCTTCTTGGAACGGAGAATGTCAATGTAAACAATACATACTTAACATGCCCACACGATACATCACCTCTTTTCAATTGATTTGCTCTAATCATTCTCGTTATTTCCTGTTGCAGATTGAGTAAACCCTTGTGCTCTCTTTCTCTTCCAGCCATTTCCACCAAATCTAAGCCAATGCACATTACCAGGCCAACCCTAACTCTGTGATAGCATCCCTCTCATTCTTATCTCATTAAATAGGAAGCTCCATGACTGATAAACCCAGAAGCTGCCCCATTTCTACAGAAATGCAAATTTTACAGAGAAAATAGTGTAACAATAAGAGCTAAGCTTTTGCAACTCTTTTATTGTCACATAAGGATCCTGTTTTTAGGAAAGTTACTCTTAAACCTCACTGCTCTTCTGTGGATACTAGTCTCAGAGTAAGGAAATGCAAATGAGAAAATAGAATTAGTCATCTTCCATTATATTTTAGAAATACGTTTATCTTTCAAATCTGTCGCTATTATTGAAAAGTTCTGCAGTGCAAACAAAGGATATATTGATATGTACTTAAAGCTATATAGCAAATTCATATGTGTGTGTGTGTGTGTGTGTGTGTGTGTTTGCTGGGGAGATGTTTTTTTCTTTTTAAACTTTGGGTTTTGACTCCAAGAAATTTTAATTTATACCAAAAGAATTCTCAGACACCTTATTTTTGTTGCTTGGTCTCCTCTTAATTCTCTTGCTGCCATTCAACTATAGATGCTAACTTACCCTCAGTGTAGCCTTTCAAATCAATTAGATGACAGTACAGAGTTTAAGTTCCACGAGCAAAGACTAATTAAGGATTCTGCTAGACAAGCGAAAGTCAGTGTTAGAAGCGACCAGAAGCAGATACGCAGTTTAAAGCGCATTTACTTTTCAGTCCATACCTTTAATTAGCTGTATAACTCCAGGGACTATAATTATCAGAATTGCTGTGAGCTTGCAGAAGGTTAGGAAAATCTGGATCCGGGCACTCCAGCTGACACTCATGCTATTCAGGACCATCACCACAGCTGTAAACAAACAGACAAAGTTACAAAAGGCAAACCCCCACGAGCACAATGATGTCTTAGGTCCTTGTCAGTCGAAATGTGATCTATAAACCTGCAGTGCTGGCATGAACTACCAGGACCTAAGCAGCACAGAATCTCAGGCTCTGCCCCAGATATAGTCTCTCCCACATTAACACTGCTCTTTGATATACATTCAAGCCTGAAAGGCTTACATAAGAGTTCTGCACAGTCAGAGAGCCTGTTTTATTCTTTGCACATTGGTAAGAATGAACATACATTGCTGTGCAATAACAATAAAGTAAAATATCTTCATCCTGAAGTCATCCAGTGGGTCATGATGGTGCTGGATTTGATCAGGAAAGGGTAAGGAGTACTGATTCTGAGGTCTTGGTCTTCTTCATCAAGACAAGTGCTACCCAGTACTCTTCTTGGTGAGGGTGAGTTTTAACTACCCTGCAAGTGTTGGCTTTCAATATATGTTTGGCTATTTGATCAAATAAAAATCTTAGAACCTTTCAACTCAGTATGCACAGTGGGTCTGAAGCCAGGAGACCTTCCTCTTCTTACTGATACTGTTGATAGTTTCCCAAGCAGCCACCCACATCAAGGGCAGAACAATGGCTGTTCATTCAGGCATTGCCAGTTATCATCTCTATTCCTGGCCAGGGAGATAACTAACATATTTTTGTTGTATGAATAGATGGATGGGTGAAGTGGGTTATAAAAAATATTAAGGAATGGTGTAAATGGTGATAATGTAGGCTTTCCTTTTCTTATCTGATGGAATTTCAACTTTATATTCTTGACAAAAACATAGGCACAGTGTAGTTAAAAGCAGGTAGCAGCTATTACAGACGTGTGGATTTCATCAATAAGCTTTCTTTTTGTAAAAATGTGTTCTTCCTTAGAAAAGATTTTAAAAATGTTTGAAAGTTTCATAAAAAAAGACACTAGCAAAATTCTTACCATTCAAATTGGAATCATGTCGTCAGGAGTTGTCACCATGCTTCCCTTGTATACTATAATCATTACCTCAGTTCCCTAATTAGGAATTGCTGATATATAATCAATATACAATAACTAATGGGAAAATTAAAACAATCTATACCCAATCAGAGCCTAATTAATGGACGTTCTTTTAATGGTTTTGGACAGCCATCTAAAATCAATATGCGATCAATAATGTATTACATGAAAAGGTGTTTATGGCATGCTACTGACCCACACAGTAGGTTGAACAGTCATTGATGTGTGCATGGGGAGATGATAACCTCAGAGACAGAGGAAAACAGGATGCCTGAAGAACTATTTATAAAAGAATAATAGCAAGTATCTATAGATGACAGAATGTCAAAATTTTTCAAATCCGAAATTTAGTCTACAGCAACATTTCACGAATTTTGTGGAAGACAGGATTTTAATGACAACACTCAGCGAGTGAACTATGTACATAAATGTGCATACACGTTCCCTCCATACAACCAAAACTAAAGAGGTAACAGGGTGAGGTGACAGAAACAGGAGCAAGAATTCACTAGTAAATAGTTCACATGGTAAAGGCAGAATGTCACCACACTTCACATTCTAAAATAATGCAGTTTAACTGGCAAAATATACCTCAGTAAAGGAAGACATTTTAATAAGTAAATAAAGCAGTAAGTTAAGTCTTACTGAGAAAAAGGCAACAATGAGGGATCAGAAGAGTCCACTCAAAATATGATGGGGTGGGCACGAAGTGTGTTCTCATAGAAATAACGGAAACGGTCAGAAAGGCCTGAGGTGGTGATGGGGCATCATAATTCAGCTATCTTTGAAGCTGGCTATATGAAGAAATAGACTGATCCTCTTTCAGCTCTCAAAGACATTGTTTCATCGGGAATGAATAAAAATAAAACAATTTATCTGTCTCCCATACATAGAGAAGTTTCATATCGGAAATAATAAGATGCAGTCCTGCTTCCCTCCATTTTATTGGATGAGTATCCATTTATGAAAATTCCTGTGTAATTAATGGCTCATCACATGATGATAATTTCTTTGATTAAAGAGGTCCAACTTTGACCTGAAAGTGGAAAAAACAAAACGAAACAAAACTTGGCCTCGGTTGTGTCATCAGCTACAAAGGAGTGCTGTGTTTGCCCTATCCCAGGTGGTCCAAAGTGGAAGAGTGGCCCTGGGAGAAAGAGGATGGGGAGAAAGACGGAAATAAAGAGACAGACACGCTGGGCAGGAAGAAATGAAGAAATAGTCTTGCTTGAAGAACACCCCACCACTGCATATTTGAGAAGAGAGGGTCCGCTGCCATCTGAATGCTCAATGTCCACTCGGACAGGTGAAACCATGAGGATCCGGAATATTAGTCCTTTTTCTAAACTTTTTCCAGACAAATGGAAGACACAAATCAATCAAACAAACATCAGGAATTGATCCTTTCACCTTGTGTCCTTCCCCTTGGCTGAGGAAGAAAGCTTAGTGAGACTGAATTCCCTCAAACTTTTCTCCAAAGGCAGCTGTATTTGAGCATCTAACATCCACTCACTGGGAGAAGCTGCACCATATTCCAGGCGTGCCTCAATGACCCTGGGGTACCATCTGGTGAGTAAGGAGGCTGCCTATGGGGCAGCCAGAAGAGGTTCTCAGGCTGCTAAAGCTGCTGCTTCATCCTGTGTCTATGCAGAGGGATTTAAGGCTGCAAAGTGTGCTTCTTACCCAACAGTATTGAATGGGGATTTGGGATTCAGTAAACACAGGCGTGTTCTGAGTTTCTGACATTAAACCCTAGCTGCTCCTTAAATGTGTACCATCTACGCATAGTATAATAACAAAAGAAGTCTGAACCAGCACTCTGGCCTGAGTTTTAACCCCTTTGAGTAACAGTTAATTTCACACATGGGGAAACTTGGGGGGAGGGGCTTACATCAAATTTTTAGCAGAATGAAAATTCAGCAACACATAGGCTTTTATTTACTTATTTATTGCAGTTTCCTAGAAACTAAAATGTAGCAGGAAAAGCTATATCCATAAATCCTACAGATAAGAAACCCATTTTTGAAAGGAGTTGTCTTTAAAAGGGACGTTTAGGGAAATCTTGAGGACTGATGCTATCTATGATTTAAGGTCTACCAAGTGTTTCCTTCTGCACACTCTATCATTCACCTGTCTTTCATTTTGAAAAAAGAAGTCACAGATGATTGGATTGTCTCTCGGAGTCATATTCCTTCAGGCTTCCACCGTTGGAGCACTTTGTGCTAAACTGGTAAAACATACAGATGCTATGTATGAATGCTATATGATGAAATAAAATGGGTGCCTCCACTGTTTCCTGCAGCAGCTGCTGGGTCCCTTTATCTCTCAGCATCCATTTCCGGGATGCACTGATCTCAGAAAGTACCTTTAGAAGGCAGATGGCCAACTCTGTATCTATGATCTCACTGTTGGGAAAAAACAGAACCAGGACTATAAAAAATGTCAACTATTATCTTCTATCAGACGTAGTACAAAGACTTCCATGGATAATACTGGTTAATCTGCACATTTCTATAACATGGCTGCTATTATCAGTCATGCATTTCATATAAGCAGGTGAAACTCCAGGTTCTGTTTAATTTGCCGGTGTTCATGTACAGGCAGCACATATTAAGATAAGATTAAAAGACAGGAAGGCAAACTCCTGAGCTCAAGCCTTTACCACCAGCTCACAGGTGCAGCAATGAGGAAACAGCTCAAAAGAAATTTGTGAGCTCACTGATACAACCAGTTTCTTGACAAACTTGTGACATCTCATTTTCATAGTTCTCTGAGAGGGTTCATGTCTGGTCTTAGGATGGCAGGACACTTGAATTCCACATTTTATGTATCATCCTCCTGAAGGATATGGCTGCTGTTCCTTGGTATATGTATACATTGTTGTGCATAACTACCAAAGAGTCAATTTAGTGGAGAAAAGGAGTACGGATACCTAGGTTTCATATTTAAAGAGATCCACACACACACACACTATGATTGAATTGCCAACACAGGCTACTCATATATTTTCAATATAATTTGAAGGTACAAGGAAAACAGAAATTACAGAACTGTGTTTGTAGCATTGGCTGGTTTGATTCTGTCTTTGTATGTACATGTTTCCATGTGCTTGCGTGGAGTGTGGGCAGGTGTGCATGTGTGTCTACGCATTAAGAGGCCAGAGACAGATGTGGACCATCTTTCTCGCTGCTTTTCTCTTTATTTCTGAGACAGGATCTCTCATTGAACCCAGAGCTCACTGATTTAGCCCTGGAGGTTGTCCTGTCTCTAATTCTTCAGTCCTGGAATTACAGGCTGGGCTGAAACTCAGGTCTTCATGCCCACTTAGCAGACCCTTTACCTACCGGGCCATCTTCTCAGCCCCTAGCTATATGCTTCACAATGATGCAGAAATTGCATTTTCTTTGTTCCTCCCAGTTACTTCCACAGGGTTTAAGCTGCCCAGCATGGCCATTATCTACATAAAGTAAACCATCAGGGGACGAGAGGCTGAGAGAGATGCATTAGGGTAGATGTGAGTACAACTCATGGCATAAGAAGAAAGCGTGGTTATGAGAATATGCCATATGAGAACACGCTTCTGTAGGGTGCAGCTTTACGGACCAGAGGGATAGGCTTGATATTTTAGAACTGAACACATCCCTGTCCCTTTGAACTGTAAGAGAAGTGGAACTTGTGATCTTGCATAGGTTACTGGTCATGCCAGAACTGGACTTAGGGGCAAAGCTGAAGTGAACTTATACGATTTTTCTATTGCACTTCAATGTGCCTAGCATTTTTTGCTAAAATGGACAGGATTTTGGATAAACACAAGTGTCTCATCTTTATTATTTGCCAGAAGTACTTTGAAAACTGTGGGTATATTAGGATTTAGATAAATCCCTCCCCTGCTCTGCTATTATTTTTCAAATGGTTGGGTAATATTTCACAAAAGTTGAAATGCTTTTGAAGTTTGACCTTTTTCTCTACTTAACTAGAGATTTAAATTCCTCATTTCCCTCTAGGAACTTGGGAGGTAATTCATGCAATTAAACTCCATTTTCTACATCTCCACAACCTTCCCCTGTAACAGGCAAAACATCACCTACATTCACTTTGAACAATAAAATATTTGAGAGATTTGCCCCCAGGTAAATTACTCTTTATACTTGTCTCCACCCCTGTTGCTCCATTAAAGCTAGATTCCTTTTAAAGGCACTTTGACTTTTCCAATTAAGTCTTTGACTTAAATTACTTACCACTGACTCATGAGCATATTCCGGTTTTCTTTCAATACCTCTGAGTTTAGGAACTTTGTCCCTGATCAGCATCTGTAGTTTATGTCAGAATTTACAAACTAATGCTATAGCTAGTGTCAAAACTAAGATGGAATACAGAGGTTCCATTAATCCTCCGGGCCCTTCTCTAACCATTCCTCCACCAAACTCAAGTACAAATACATGAGCCCACACAGATTGCCAATTCTGTCTTACAATTGCTTTAAATTTTGGGTGGGGGGAGATCTGAAATTTTGAATTCCCTAAAATATAAATGTCTCCTTTAAAAAAGTTAGCAAAAATCGTGATTAGTAAGAGTCATTAGTAAGACATAAAAACAAAAATAAAAACATCATCATTTATTTACTTTCATAGTCAAAGCAGGTAAATGTTGTGAATTTGTAAATATCTGCACATCAAGATTTGCTTTAAGATCTTGGTTTATTCTTTTTAGTCAATAACATGTATTATTAGTCTGAAAAGTTTCTTGAACTACTTCGTTCTCTTCTGTGATGTGATTCAGTCTTGTTCATGGAAAGAGGATAGGACTAGTATAAAAATGGCTGCTAGTCTAACCCTTCAATGCAGCCTCAGAGGCATCAACTTTCCATGTGCAAGGAACACTTCAAAGTCTTAAATCTCTGATATAATCTTACATTTCTATAGCCATTCAAGACACATTGCTGTATCAAAGGCATTTAATCAATCAACAAACAGAAGCATAAATAAGTTTAATAGTCCAAGGTCACATAACAAGAAATCAGGACACTTTGTCCCAACTCCAGCTTGTTGATCTATAGTAATTATAACCACTGTATAAAGATGATTCACCTCACAAAAGCGTGTGGTGCCAGATCTAACATCTTGCTAGCAGACTGTTTCTCTCCACTAATCTCCCTGCTTCCTGAGAACTGAAGCTTCCTAAAACTTAAGTTTCACAGGTCACAAACTACAAGTATTTCTGCTAAACTAAAAAAAAAAATCCCTTAGACTTCTTCTCTTAAAGTCAGTCAGTAACAGACAGTTTCTGAGCACCAACAAGCAACCTAAGTGATGGTGGGGGGCTGGGGATGTAGCCTTGTACAGGGCTCTGGTCCCCTGGGAATTCCAGAGACATTTCTCCACAGAAGTATAAATATTCATCACTTGCCTTGCATTCTTAATAGGTTGCAGGCATCATCACAAATACTCTACATACTGCTGATTCCTCATAGCCCCCACCACACTGGCATAATTAATTAATGACAATACTGAGGTGCTGAAGTGAGGTCATTGTTCCTAGGTTTCCTGTCTGTGGTGTCTATAAAGCGAAGAATGTCATAGGCAGCTACAACTTAATTCCCAGAACTCCAAAATGTCTACTTTTGAGCCATTTTCTTTGTCTTTCCAGAGATGTTACAAAACAACTTTGTGTTTAGGATTAAGCTGTTTAGTTAAGAAATCCATGTATGTCGTACCAGAGATGGTTTTATGTAGAATCACTCACACTTTGTCACAGACTAGCCCTTAGGGCATCTGCTGTCAAAAGTGCATTGAGCTTTGTGTTATTCCATTAAGCCACTGTGGAGCAACCCTCTAAGCAGTCTTCCTGGAGTATGTAATTCAGTTATTCCTGTGTACCATTCTCTGGGTTCTTAAAATCAGTAAACTACCTATGATCATAAGGATTCAGCAAACAATGATTTAAATAGCAATTATTATCTGTCTCCATGATATTCTACAATGCTATACAAAATGACCATCCCATCTGGCTTGTTGTAGAATATTATTTTAAGATGTGTTACATTTATTTATTTATGCTGTGGAACATTTGTTTTAATGATACAAAGTTATGTTGTATTCTTTTATGCTGCATTTGTTTAACTATGTGAAGTTGTGATTCTTTGCCTGTCTAAAACACCTAATGGTCTATAAGAGCCAAACAGCCAACAGTAAGGCAGGAGAAAGGATAAACAGGGCTGGCATCCAGAGAGAATAAATAAGAGGAGATGGAGAAAAGGATAGAGAAAGGAGCAAGAGAACAGGGGAAGAGACTGGTGGGGGCCAGACCCCCGGCCAGCCCCCCAGCCAGACCCCCAGCCAGTCCCCCAGCCAGACCCCCAGCCAGACCCCCAGCCAGCCACCCAGCCAGCCCCACAGCCAGACCCCAGCCAGACCCCGGCCAGTCCTCCAGCCAGTCTTCCAGCCAGCCAAAGAGTAAGAGTGAAAGTAAGATAAGCAGAAGTGTCGGTGAGTCCCACTTGCTCGGGTTAGCTGTCACTGTGGGTTTCCCCATCATGATCTTGACCCTTGCTCATATAATCCCTCTTCCCTCTCTTCAACTGGGCTCCAGAGCTTGGCCCAGTGCTTAGCTATGGACCTCTTCATCTACTTCCATCAGTTTCTAGATGAAGACTCTATGATGACAATTAGCGTGGTCATCAGTTTGGTCATAGGAAATCAGTTCAGGCACCCTCTCCACTATTGCTAGGAGTCTTAGCTGGGGTCCTCCTTAAGGATTCCAAGGAGTTTCTCTAGCAACAGATGTCTCCCTAACCCCATAATGGCTCCCTCTATCCGGATTTCTCTCTCCTCCTTTCTATCTCTCCTACAACTCAACCATCCCATTCCCTCATGTTTTCTTCTCTACTCCCCTTCAAACCTACACAGCTCCCAATTTACTCAGGAGCTCTTATCTATTTCCCCTTCCCAGGGGCATCCATGCATGTCTCTCTTAGGGTCCTGGGGAACCTGTATAGTACTGAATTAGGTCCTCTGAAGGTGGGTGACAGTTCTGTGGCTTGGGCAGTCGGTGGAGCCACTGGCAGTAGGACCAGGATTTATCCCTAGTGCATGAACTGACTTTTTGGAGCCCATTCCCTATGGAGGGATACCTTGCTCAGCCTTCACACAGGAAGGAGGGGCTTGATCCTGCCTCAACTTGATATGCCATACTTTGTTGATTTCCTATGGGAGGCCTCACCCTTACTAAGGTTGGTTGAGGGGAAGGTTGGGTGGGGGAGGGAGGGAACAGTGATTGGTATGAAAAAATAAATAAAATTTTTTAAAGAAAAAGAAAAAAATATACAAAATTAAGAAAAGGAAAAATCCTGATGGAAAAAAGGTAGACTGGGATAGTTTAAGTTATGAAAGCTGCCTAGAAACAAGCTGGGCATTTATAGAGATAAGATTCCATGTATGATTTATTTGGGAGCTTGGTGTCAGGTCCCCGAAAGAGAAAAGAGTAAAAAACAAACAACAATTGCTTATGGAATCCTGTGTATGTTCCTCCTTTCATTTCAGCTATTTCTTCAATTTCTAAATGCCTATTAAAAAAACAACTTCCTAAGTTATAGCCCATAAACAAATCTTCTAGCAGAAAAATGCTACTGGTTATCAAATAGAGAGAAAAGTTCTTATCATGACCAAAAATAGACAGAGAAAATGATAACACTGAGGGTGACAGTTCATATCACTATAAACAATGCAAACACAACATGCACACCCATCATATAAACATAACCCCAGGACCACTGGTGAGTAATAATTTCACATATCACTGGCATTGAGTTATTTCTAGTTCAAAAAACAATTCCTCAGAATATTCTTCATCTATGAGACTGCCTTTTGATCCACCATCCATTTAACATTTTACCAATGAAGGGTTTTTTGTCTACTTTAAAAGACCACCTCCCACACATCTTGACCCTGCATACAGTTGGAATACATTGTAATAGCAGAAGTCACTTCAAATCTTGTGTTCCTGACTCTAGTTTCCAACACAGATTTGAAACCGTAAGCACAGAGAGAAGACAATTTGGGAACTACCATGCAAAAAATGCTAAAGAAATTTGTCTCCAATCACATTGTTACATTGTGTCCTTCTATTCTGTTATAGCTATAATACTCACTGATGCCCACAGCTGTTACAAGCTTGATTGCAAGTTCAGGAATTTCACATTGCATAAAAAATGGTTCCAGAATGTATCGTCCAAATGCCAGGGATATCACAGCCGTAGCTCCGGGGCTAAGAAATAATATAGTTAGGTTAACTTCAGGCAACGATAAGTAACAGTTTTACTAGAACATTTTATCTTTGGATCTTACTACCTAACATGTGGAACCTAGCTAACAAGGAATTCTAACATGCTTAGAACTTTATATTTCATTAAGTTGCCATACACTCCAAATGAAATATTATCTATACAAGTAATGGCTAAGGTTTTAAAATCTTGGTGAAAATTAGTACTTCTAAGAGTTCATTGCCAAAATGTGTCTAAATATGTAATGTTAACTCTTAATTTTCTAATAAAAAGAAATCTCTAAGCCTAGCAAATATTCTTAATTTCTGAAGAATATTTATATAGAGAGAACCACAGAATAAGAAGACAAAAAAAATCCCAGCCTGAGGAGATGGAAACCCAGACAATAAGTCATCCCACTTTAGTTCTTCAAAGGGAAAAATGAATATTCCATTTCATCTTCAAAATGAGTGCATAGTGTTGCCACACGCAAGAAAATCCACAGAATTGCTTAACATCTCATGAGTCCTTTCAGCTTCTCTTCCTCCTTGTGGTTACCTAACACCCAGGCCTTATCCCTGGATTACCAGAAACCAGCCACCATCACCTGTCTTCAGCCTGGGTCTCCTGCCTCCAATCACCACTACAAACATCATAACTTTCTTCTCTCCCTAGAGACCCCTTTCTCTTTTCTCCAAAGGGGATGCTTTGGTTTGTAAAATGAAGTCTGGTGGTGTCGTTCCAGTACCCTGAAAGCATGCTTTGGTTATGGTCAAGCTCAGATCCAAGCTTCCCCTACTTCTTCGGTCTTTCTCCCAGGATCAAGATCTCAGTCAGCTGCTTTTGCTTCTGTGGTGAATGGCACATGTAGGACAACACCAAATGCCTACTTTTTGTACTTTGTACCTGGGTTCAGTCTTGGGCCAGAAAAGTGTGTTTCCAGCCCTTGCCCTGGGTCTGTCCAAGCGTTTTCCTACACAGCACCAAACCTGTGCCTTCTACACTGCTTATCACAGCAGAACTTATATTCTTCTTAATATGAATCCCAGATTAAAACTCTGTACCTCCACTTGACTTTGAAGTCTATGAGAATAAGACTGTGTCTATGGCTAATCAGAATTTTATCCCAGTGCAGTGGCTAGCACAGTGTCTATCATACAGTAGAAATTCAATAGTTATTAACATATTATGAATGAATTTAACTTTGAAGTCCCCATCATGTTCTGTTGGGAGACTGCTTGAATTCATTTTACAGGTTATTTCTGACAATACAGACTTAATTTGAAAGTATACCTTTAATGTTAGAGACCCTGTGGTCTATTTAGATGTCATGAATATTACTAATAGAAGAGAAGCTTTTATGTACTTAAGGGACCGTGTCCTTTTTCATGTCATGTGTTATTTTGTCGTCTGTTTGAAAGACTACTTAGCAGTGTGAGTCCAGTGTAACAAAAAAGGAATCTAAATCTATTTAGAAGCTTCTAAAATTTATTTAGGTAATCTGGCTATGCACACACTCACACACACACACACACACACACACACACACACACACCATAAAACAGTTCTTTCAAATTAAGGCAACATCTGATTATCAGCTATTTAAGATCAGGAATTGTGGTTCCTTCCAATTTAAATCTCTATCTTGCCATTTGCCATTTGCAGCAACTCGGAAAGAATAAATTAATGAACTGGCACCATATCTGTCCATTGCAAACAGAATGATCACACTCATAGCAACACTGAGCAATTAGATAAAGTTGCACGGCAAATGCATGGATGAAGATGGAGTGAAGTCCAAGGACATCAGGCTGGGCAGCTCAACAGCCTGACAGGCCAGCATTCTAAGTGTTTTTATTTCAAAATAACATAATCTTGGACTTCCTGACACTTGTTAAGAAAGAATTCATATCCAGGATACACAGGGTGCTGATCTAAATAATATGAAAGTTATAAAAGGTTTAAAACCTGTTTTCATATACTTGAAATGGGAAAAATACAACATAGGTAGCTAAAGTATTAAATAAAAGACATGATAATGAGTTCAATGTCAAATGGGATGTAGAGGCTACTTTCATTTTCCCCGAAGAATTAAGAGATGAAAGAAAGCTGGGAAGTGGTGTCACACACCTTTAATCCCAGCACTGGGGAGGCAGAGGCAGAGGAATCTCTGTGAGTTCGAGGCCAGCCTGGTGTACAAAGCTATACAGAGAAACCCTGTCTCAAGAAACCAGGGGGTGGGGGGTGGGGGGTGGGGGGGTAGGGAGGGGTAATGCCACAAACTGGGGATAAACCAGAAATTAACTGCAAATAGAAAAGAAAAAGTGTAAAAGTAAACTTTGAAGAGTACATATTCCTAAGTTGACAGAGGATACAGAAGTATATCCCCAATAGGGAGATCTTAGGGAAACAATAAAAATAGTCTTATCATCATTTAATTCTACCGATTTCTAAGCAATAAAGAACTGTCATTGCCAATGAATCCTGCACTGCTCTGAAGTTTGTTATGAACACCATAACAATCATTCCTGTTAATGAACACCCAAGAGCTCTGCCTTTGTCACTCATGTTAATGGCAGAATGAAAAATCACCTGAGAGTTCAGCTCTGTGTGTCTTATGTTTACAGGGGAGCAAGGTTCCCTGATGATTCCTACTGAATTGTGTGATCAGAAAGTGCAAGTCACATCCTGTGAAACGGTTAGCACAAAACACCTGTGACACCAGCTATGCGTGTGACATCACAGATGCCCCACAATGATGGAGGAAATTTGCTATTCAGAGTGACTTGGCGCTATTCAGTGCCAAGAGAATCAGGAAGGGGACGCGGAATCTTACAGCAACACAATCAAAAGATTTTCGCAACTGCAGATCGCTGGTTTGTTTAATGTGAGGAAATGAATCATTCCTGGTGTGTAAACTTGATTTTTTTTAACTTTTTGTAAAGCATAAGACTTGATAATACACTAAGTTGCTTGGCAGAGACATTTCTTAGTCACGAAAGGGAACTTAGTGGCCTGATGATATAATCAACAATTTAAAAAAAAAACCTCTAATTCCTGGCATTTTATATTGTATCTGGACAGTCAAAGGTGCAGTTTGTCAAGGTGGATTTTGAAGTTTCACCTCCTCTCTAATAAATACCTTCCCTAGAAAAACATATGAATTAAACTTGCAGCTTAAAGGAAACTGTTCAAACCTTACGGCCTTCATGGTTCCAACAAAGTCACATGACACACATTTGTAATTAGCTAAAAATAGTCAAGAAGGTCCTGAAAAGGGACGAAATGAATAGGCTTATTCTCCTTTAATTGTTTCCACATCCTTACCGTATTATGAGCAGTTCCACCCAGACTCGGACAAAAGCTAGCAAAGGACCAAAGACCTCCAGAATGTATGTGTAATGACCACCAGATTTCTTTATGCTCGTACCCAGTTCGGCATAGGACAAGGCTCCTGCGAAAGGTTATAATAAAAAAGGTACAAATTTGACACATAATCAAATAGTCTTGTAACGGAATCCATACAGCAGTGTTTGTGCTGCCTGCCATATGGCTACTTCTTTTGGCCAGAATGGCCTTCTTCATGACATCAAGCTCTTCTTTTAACTTCCTTACACTTGAGACCTGCCTCATGCTAATAAAAAGGAAGAAAGGAAAGAAGAAAGGAAGAGAGAAAGAAAGAAAGGAGAAGGGAGGGAGGGAGGGAGGGAGGGAGGGAGGGAGGGAGGGAGGGAGAGAGAGGGAGGGAGGGAGGGAGGGAGGGAGGGAGGGAGGGAGGGAGGGAGGGAGGGAGGGAGGGAAGGAAAGAAAAGCCAAGGACTGGAAAGATGCCTCAGCAGTTAGGAGCACTGGCTGCTCTTCCAAACTCAATTCTCAGCATCCACATAGTGACTCACAACCATCTGTGTCTCTAGTTCCAGGTGACCCAGTGCCCTCCTCTGGTGTCCCCAAGCACCAGGCATGTATATTGTGAATAGACATGTACACAGGAAAAATACCCATACACATAAGAATCAAATAAAATGAAATGAAAATAACTGTAAGGAAAGAAATTTTGTTTGAAATGGTATCTACAAACATGCTTGAGAACCTGTGGTCAGAAACCAGAGGGCAGAGGGAAAGGACTAGGCAGAAGGTGTCAATGGTACTGACCTGGCCTTTGAATAACAATACCACTTCATGCTAAGACAAGTTAGGCTGTGTACTCAAACTGACCTCACTAAGGCATTTTAAAACATTTTCATAAATATTGTTTCTGTGGCATGTCGAAATATGGGGCATCTGTCTTCAGGAAAGAATGAATTACACCCCTTGTGAGACTTCAGTTAATTGATAGAATATGTTTTGTCAGCAAAATGAATCTTGATTCCATTGTTCTGTTGCTAGAAATGGTTATTATGGAGGTTTTCAAAATGTACACCAAGGAAGTTGAAAGAGCAACTGTTTTACAATGAGATTTCATGTGTACAGTCATGTACGTAATATAAAAATCAGTTATAAACTAAGTTGTATTTAGAAGTATTACTAACATGGGATTGGGGAAGCTATTTAAATTCCCCAAACCTTACTTTTCATCCCCTTTGAAGTGAAAGAATGGACTTCCGTGTCGCAAAAGACTTGTACATACAAAGGTGTACCACAGGTAGAACTGATTCTGACACACAAACACCTCATGACATGGTATGCTCACCTACTAGTTCATAGTTAATTATGATGGACATAAAAATCATAATTTTATCAAAAAAAGAAGAGATAAAAAAAACCTCTGACATTGCTCAGTGCTCAAAGGTAACAAGGTTTCTGCCCAAGCACCTGAAGAGGTTCCACGTGTGGAAAGTAATTACTGATCAATAGTGCCTCCTATAGAACATCCAAAATAAATAGAATTTGGAAATTTAGTGAAGTCTGAGTACTCTTACTGATTCTTTTTCTTTTTTGTTTTTTTGTTTTTTTTTTTTTCGAGACAGGGTTTCTCTGTATTGTTTTGGAGGCTGTCCTGGAACTCTCTCTGTAGACCAGGCTGGCCTTGAACTACAGAGATCCACTTGCCTCTGCCCCCCAAGTGCTGGGATTAAAGGCATGTGCCACCAACTCCCGGCCACTTACTGAATCCTGAATCCAACATTATCTCAGAGTCATTTGGAGAATTTTAAGAGTGAACAAAGGAAGAAAGACTCTAAGACCACACCTTCTGCTCTTTGTCAGAGTCCAGACTCCACCCCAAAGAACAATCCAAGCAGCTCTACTGCCTTTTAATGTTAAAACGAGTTTACAGGTAGCTATTTAAGGACTTTTGGAGTATTTCATTAATGTAGAACTAAAGATAACTAGCTATCATGAGCTTCTTTTGACAAAGTAGTCACCATGTTGGTAGGTTGTCCAGAAAAGCAACCAATATAGTCCAGTTATTGGAAAGAGTCTTAAGCACCTTGCAATTAACTGTCAGGGAATCAATACCCAGACCCCTGTACACTTTGCCCCAGGTTTGATTTGAGTTCTGAGAGAATGGAATTTTCATTTAAAGGTCTCAAGCTCCATAACTATGTGCCCAGATGAAAAGAAGTTCAAAGCTGGCTATAAAAGTCCATGTGTTGACCTCAGAACTCAAAAACTTACAAACCAAATACAGGTGCTGCTCCCCTCGCAGAGGGTGACTTTGCTCGCTCCCCAAAACATCCACAGCACTAGACAGTGGGAACTTCATTGGCCACACAGAGCCTAGGGACCACCCTGCACATTTGCCTTGAGCTAGACAAAATCATCCTACAAAAAGTTCATTTCACAAGTGTTAAAACGTGTCAAGTAATTTACTGAATAACAAATTCTTATCACCCACTCCTGGAAGGTTAAAACATCACGTGCCACCAGGTATTGGTGGCGCATGCCTTTAATCCCAGCACTCAGGAGGCAGAGGCAAGTGGATCTCTGTGAGTTCCAGGCCAGCTTGGTTAACAGAGAGAGTTCCAGGACAGCCTCCAAAACAATAGAGAAACCCTGTCTTGAAAAACAAAAAACAAAAAACATCACGTGCCAAAACACTTTAAGTTGGGGGACTTGCCTGGTTCACATTCTTGACTTGTATTCCCTGAGTTCTAGAGCTTCAAGTAACAGAAAGAATTTTCTCCTTGGATCTTGCTTGCTTCCTACTTGTGAAGACTCCGTGTCCAGAAAGCTCCCAGTAATTTAGGTGGAAACAATATGAGGGCACATCTCTGAAGCTAACACTCAAGCATCCACTGGGGCTCACGTCACACCCCCTCAGCTGCTCCCTCTAGTTTCCTGAGTTTCCACCAAAGATGGCAGACTTACATACAAGCACATTTCCTCCAAACAAGTCAGCGTGTCTTTAATTAACTCAACCAAGTAATTAATGTAGAGCATCTGAATACCACTGATTGTGTGTGAAAAGTATGCCAAGTCCAAGAAACTGGTTGTAGTTTTTCTGATTTAGATATTGATTTATTCTAAATATATCAAATACTGTAAGACATTTAAAGCCTGGGGGGTACTCTGTCACTTAAGATCAACAACTGAGCTTCTCTTTGCCAGGACCACTCTAATATTAACAACGGCAAGGGCTCTGCTGGAGTTTTTGATAACTCTATTACTCCAAACAACTCAGAACTGGAAAGGGACAGCACACAGCTGTCACCTGACATTCATGAAGCATAATCTATTCACATGAATGATGTCCCCAAGTTTCCCAGATTCCATAGATCTTTCTGTAATAAGTGTGTTTTCAATATTACTGGAAATCTCTCCATCCTAAAAACAAATACTTAAGTTCTCTGGGTAGGTAATTCTCCCCAAACAGTGATTTCAAATATCACAAGACCTAAGCAGAAAGAATGAATGGAGCAAGAGTTAGCAATTGGACCCAGAGTAACTTGGTCCCAGGTTAACGAAGTCACTTTAAAGTGTGGGCTACTTTGTGATCAACGTATAAATCAAATTACAATAAATTTTAAAAAACTGACCATTCATCATTTTTGTCACCTTTACAATGGACCTGGAGAGTTTCATGTTGATTTGTCCTCCTGATCAAGAATTAATTATCTCCTCTACAGTATTAATCCTCAAACCAACCAAAGAAACATACATTTTGAAGAGAAAAAATAATAACCATGGTAATACCAGTTCTGGCTAGAAGACCAACAGGTAGAGAAATGATCTGTTTCCCCAGAGACCACAGACATCACAGAAACAGATCCAGGTATGAAGAGAAGACTGGCATCCAAGTGAAGCTGGCAAACTCATGCTGAGAAACTTTCTCAACGATGTTTAAAAAGATTTAATAATAAGGGGGGCTCAAGGCATCGCCATTTTGCTACTCACAGAGCCCGAGTCACATCAAACACTTGTTTCCCCCAAGGACTTCTGAAAGCATTGATTAGGAACGAACAAGTCTATGAATTGAAAATATTTTTTTAAAAAAGCAGAGAGTGCTACCCATTTGGTAAGCTAATGAAATGTCAGTGACACTGCTCTGAACATCCGGTTCTGCACGTAAATTGGCCAAGCAGGCTGTACCTCACAGGTGTTTCAGCCAGCCAGCCAGCTGCCACAATGCTCTAAGCGTGCCTCACAAAACCTAAACCCTTGGCAGAGAAAGCTTGCCTGGCTTTCGGGGTCATCAAAGTTAGGTTTTTGCTCTCCTCACACCTGAGAAAAGCCAGAGAAGAGTCCCGGACAGGAAAAGAGCATGTAGCCTGAAGGAAAGAGTCTGAGAGGATTCAGTCTGATGCCAACAGCGGACCGTGTGTTGTTTGGGTTGTGCACATACCTGAACAACAGCAACAGAAATTCAAAACATTTCCTGTAGTATTTGCCATTCATCTCCTCCTCAGAAATAAACCCTTTGCTCTCCCAGAGAGCCACACAGCCACACCCCCAGAGAAGAAGTGCACTCACCAAAAAGTGACAGTACTCCACAGGCAGACCACAACACCAGGGACATGCCCACGCTGCCCGTGTTCTGGAGTATGCCCTTGGGGGAGATGAAGATGCCCGCTCCGATGACGGTGCCGATGATGATGGAGACCCCCCTCAGCAAAGTGATCTTCTTTTTCAGGACCACTTTCTCCTGCCCAGGTGCCTCTTGGTCCCCCATGGAGGGCAGCCTCCCGCTCACATTGCCCTGCAGGTAACCTCCTTTGGAGATGGTGGCCACAACTGGCTTTCTGACCATGGTAGTGTCACACCAGGGGAGGGGGAGTGAAAAAAGAAAAACAGAGGAAAAGCAAAACAAAACAACAAAACAAACTTTCAACTTTGGTTTCCCTAGACGTGACTGATCACTGATCAGTCTCTGCTTTCCCTTGGCTTTCACTGGCCGGCTCGGCACTGTTTTGTCCACAGGTGAAAACTCTGGGGTGTGCTCTAGCCTCCGCCGCTATCTAATTCCTCCTCTGGCGCCCTGCGAGCACCTGTGTGGCATCGGCTCCGGGAGCAGGCGGTTTGCTGCAGCCGCGGCTGCTGCCCTATCATTACACACCAGCTCAGCTTCCTCGTGGGCTCGTATTTATGCTACCGCCTGTCACACCAACTTACTGAGCTACAATGATGATGCAAATTCTCCAGGTTTGCATCAGCCACAAGAGAAAGCTCCACCTTGGGAAAGCGCCAGCATTACTCAGCTTTTTTTTTTTTTTAACAGTAGTGGGCGTGTTGCTCAACTGACCCAAAGCATTTCCCTGAACAAAGCAGACAATTAAAGAGAGGGGCTTAACCAATCCAAAAGAAGTAAACCAGGAACAGACATTGTTGTCGTGGTGACTGTAAGCAACTCGGCTCTCAGAGGGAAAGAAAATGGAAAATGAAACAGGAAACGATTGTTTCATTTTAAGGAGTTGCTTCTTAACTTCAACACGTGCGTAAAACGTTGTATGCACAACTGTTTTGACAATAGAAAAGTGCCTTAGGGCTGCACTGTTTTCGGCAGCAAAGTTTAGACTTTATAATTTGTATTCTGCTCACCTCCCGGGTGTTTCCTAGCAACACTGTCAAATCTAATATTTACAAAGCTAGAAAGTTTCTGCACACGAGAGCCGCGGCTACGCTCAGCGCCACAAAAAACGGGCGCAATTGTTTCTTAAGACCTGTGATAGGCTGGTGTTTAAGATTGCCATCTGCCTTTGAGAAGCTGAAAGACCCCAGTGACTAGACAAAACAGTCCTTTTCTGATTCTTGTCGGCACAGAGCGGTTTCCTGAGCTAAGTAGAGGGCTCCATCATTTGCTTGTTGCTCCATCAAAAAAAAAAAAAAAAAAAAGAAAGAAAGAAAAGAAAAGAAAAAAGAAAGAAAGACTCTACTTGGAATCTTAGGCAGTACTTATAATCGCACGAAGGCACACACAGAACAAAAGCTTGTGAAGGAATTCACAATGTAATATTTGGGGAAAGTAAGGGGAATGTATATTTTAAAATGTATTAAAATCAACAAGTACTAAGTTTTAGTTAGCTCAAAGCCATAAGTTCTCAGTGACTGTAACAGAAGTACAGTGTTCATTTAAAAAAGTAACGGGATTTTTTTTACATTAGGAAATAATGAAATTTTGAGGAGATGGAGGGATTTAATCTGATTTATTGCACTACAGTGTGCACAAGTACTGAAACCTAACACCCTAACATATATACAGCTTTCCTTTTTGGTCTGTCAGTTAAAAAGTAATTTAAACATATAAAAGTGCATTAAGATTGCCGACCAGGGATAAAATATTTACATTAAAAAGATCAAAAGTAAACACTTAAACAGGAAAGTTTCTGCTTCTAACCAAGTACCTTATAAAAGCTAAATAAATACCAAGAGAAAAAGAATCTCAACTATATCATCTTTGGCTCTGGGTCCCTGTGGTTTGAATTTAATGAGAGGAATCCATCCCATGCAGTCATTATCCTGAAGCTATGTTCAGACCCATGATCAAATATGCTTTAGAATCTCAGAATAAAAACAACAGAAAATCCCTGTGGAAGGAAGGTTGGCTGCAGGGGAGTGAGGGGAGGGGAGAGGGATGGGGGGTTACAGAGACAGGAAATAACCTGGCTGGAGGTAAGGATGGGGAGGGGAGAGAGAGGAGGGTATGGGGATGACAGAGGCTGGAAATAACCATTGGAAAGGAATCCTGGAAAATGCCAGAACCTTTCTGTTAGTCCTTACCTGAGAAAATGTTCATGACATGATGACCTTATCACACAAATAACTGAGGCCACACAATTTCCCTTTTACAAGACCTACCCAAGTTAAATCTAGTCCAAATCCCTCAGAAAGGAAAGGGACTCCTCCCCTCTGCCCAAGTTCTCCTGTTCTTGCCCCAGTCTCTACCCCCATAATTCTCCTGATTAATGAACAGAAGGAGGGAGAGGAAGCTATTGTCTCCTCAAAGGGGAACATTAATTCTAAAGAAATAAGAGTTTAAAATAAAGCACTAAGCCCCAGGCAACTGTGTCCCATCCATGCCATGGCACCATACTTTGGAGACTAAATTACAAATGGTTGGACTAGTAAGACTAGGGTACTCTTCAGACAGGATGTTGGAAATATTTTAAAGGAGGAAAAATGTTATTCCAACTTTAAATAGTATTCTGCTCCTTGGCAATTTTAATAGGTATTCACGGAGAAATAATTCTGAAGTTATCCTAATAGCCAAGAAGGGGGTACTCTCCTGCATTGGACTAAGACTGAAACTTTCTTCAAAACTGCATACAGCTAATAAAAACCTCAGTACATCTCTTTGAACCTCCCATGAATTTACAAAAAAAATATACGTTTCAAAGAAAGTGGTGAATTACCTTTAAGGTTAACAAGCCTTTATAATCACTGGTGCTAACCTTATAATCTAAGAATTTGGTTGGTTTTCAAGTATGTGTATATCATAAAATAAATTCAAAGCAAATAGGTTTATTGTCTGTCTCCTGCTTCTGAGGTTATTTTGAGCACTTTAGAGACTGTTCATTAACACTTACTTAATGTTTACTCTGCTCAAGGACGGCCCCAGTTCCTAAAATCATCTCCTGCGTTGTGGTGGCTAACGCGTTACACTAAAGATGCCAGCCCATGTGTGTAAACAGAGCTGTAAAACCTAGGCGTAGCCAAGCACATAGTTATTTTTCCAGTTGTAGTGCATTGGAATGCAATCTGAGCTAACATATTTCTAAATGGAATAAGAATTACCCTTTCTTATTTGTTGGCAGTTGTAATGACAAGGACAACAACTGCAGACATGTCCCTGGCTATGTTGAAAAGGTCCCTATGGATATGTTTACAGTCCCAGTATCACAGCACTGTGTCTTCATGGCCAAGAAGGGCAGATTGGAGCTGGACCTGAAGATCTTCCATTGATCCTATCAGACACTGGGGTTCCTTACTAAGAGTGCTAACTGGTACTCCACACAAACATCATTCACACATGGATGATGGGGATGAATGTGAAGGCTTCTCATTAGAGATTATAGAAGCAGGTTGCACCATGTGATAGCCATTAGCCAGATGTGGTTACCAGTTCTGGAAATGTGTTTAAATTTAAAGTTCTATAAAATGACTTCCTTAGGAAAGAGATCATATACTTGGTGAAAGTTTGGACAACCTTCAATATAAGATAGATGAGACATATATTTGATCTGTTATGTTTGGAACAAAAACCATTCTTGATACTTCAAAGAATAAAAAAAAAGGAGTATGTATGATGAGCAGAGAGAAAAGCTCAACTAATTCTTGAACACCTCAACTTAGTACATAAGTTGAAAATTTTTTTCCTATCACAGCCAAGTATTTTATGTTCACTCTTTGTCTCTGTACATTGCTCCTCACTTATGTATGTAATTATGTGTGCACACGTGTTGCAACCATTTCCAAAGGAAAGGCTCATTTTTAGCTTCTCTATAGTTTTCAGCATCTTGACTGTTGTTAGGATGAAACAATACAAAGCCCTTACAATGACTTACAGTAGGAGTGTTTGCAAATAAAGTTTTATTAAAATACACCCATATCTACTCACTAATCTATTTCTAAAGCTTCTTTCATGTCTCAACAGCTGGTCCATTGCAAAAGAAATGAGTGGACTCCAAGGTGGAAATGTTTATTTGCCTCTAGCTTAAGAACACGCATAGAAACTCACCAGTGTTTACAATTAATATCTTCTTCTAATGCCTGTTCTTCTGTGTTCATTGTCCAATAGTTCTCATAGTAAGGTATGCTCCTGACTTGATCATTCCCTCTACCTGAAATTCTATCACTTAACATGTTCATTTTGCTAACTTACAAACCTTAAATGTTAAAATAAATTAATGTTTACCAGTTTTCTCTGGTCCTCATTAGATTGGGTGTTCCCTGGTATGGAACTGAGTTTACGGTTCTGTGTCCTGAAATGGTTAGTCTACTATGGAGTAGAAACCAATAAGTACATTTTATAATCATTAACTCCAGTACTATAAGCAATACTGGGAAAGGAAAATGTGGGGCTCTGGGACAGGGTGGGGAAATGAAAGAGCTAAGTCATGACCAGCCGTGCTAAAAGGTTGATGTGTAATATACAGAAATGTAAACTACAACTATAGAAAAGTATTATTTAGAGATTTGGAGATAAACCACGAGAGGGGGACAATCACCCCAGGAAGAAATACTTTTGTCCCTGAGGAACAAGAAGGAGCACTCCTGGGGAGTGATAAAAAGCAAGGACATCTGTTCATTTCTTAATCCTTTTAGAATACCACGTTCTTACTGATTGATAACAAATAACACAAAAACAGACAAAATAACATGAAACTAAAGAGTGATCAAAGTGGTTTCTAAGGTCATTTTACTTGGAGAAAAGAGAGGTGGGGTTATTTATCTGTGTTAACAAATTGAAGGTAAATCACTAAATGGAAAGAAAAAGGGAGAGAGAGGAGAGGGACAGAAGATGAGGTGGAAAGGAGGGGAAGGAGGAGGGGGGAGAAGGAGGAAGGGTGTAAGGGGGAAGGGAGCAATAAGGAATGAAGGGACAAAAGAATGAGAGAAAAGGAAAACAGGGAAGAAGGAAAGAAGAGACCAGGAAATGAGAGAGGAAGAGAAGGAAGATGGAAAAAGAACAGTAGAAGGAGGAAAAGAGAGTGATGAGATGGGGAGGAAAAGATGGTAGAAAAAGAGGAGGAGGAAGGAAAAGAGTGGGAGTGAGGAAAGGAGAAAAAAGATAAACCAAGCAAAGAAATTCATGACTCCGAAGCCATAAAAAAGAATAAACTAATACTAAAAACCTCATTAATTCTAAGTTATAACCAGGAATGTTAACAAAAGATGTAAGGAGAAAGCAAAGCAAGTTTTAAAATGACTGAAACCAGTGGCCAAGTACATAAATCATATACTAGTACAGTTAAATGGGTTACATTCACCCAGGAATGAACTACATGATTTTGTTTTGTGTTTTTCAATGTCCACCTACAGTCTAATTTAAAAAACATGAAATTAAACAAGATAATTTTTGTCAAAAATTGTCAGGGAGGAAAAGAGTCATTGGTCAGATAAAAAATCTTTACGTGTTGAGGAACAAACATGACAGAATTAAAAGGACAGTAATTCATGGTT